AAAAAAAAAAAAAAAATCTAAATTTAAACAAAGCCATAAAAAAAAAAAAAAAGGATGCATACAAAAAAAAGTGAAAACTCTGTGGGGTGTGATTTCCTTTTTCATAAACTGGCCGATTCCCATAACATAGAAACTAAAACAGAAAACTTTGGTTTCATTGGATGTCCACGTAAAGAAGAGAAGCGTATTTTGGGGAAAAAAATTATATCTTGTAAATAACGTTAACATGCACGTTCACCGTTTGTCAGCTCTCCGAAAGCTCTGCACAAAAAAAAAACAAAGCAAAAATGTAAAAATTATAACTATTAGTTGTACTTATCAAATCAAATATACAGGCCTGTAAATAAAACGGTTATTTGTTTTGCTACTGTAGGTCAAACTTTTCACCTGCTGCTTGTTTAGTGGCTTTGTGTAAAACCCAGAGTCAGACGGCTGGTTTCCTCGGCGACTCTCGTTCACCTGATGGCCTGAAAGGTGGGAACATTACTCTGTAACGTGCAGAGAGCTGGTAATTCTGGGAAATGAAACCCCCCCCCTATTATTGCTGCCGAAACTCTTTACATCTAAACTCAGCACCGAGGATTTGACTAAACAAATCCCTGGCCTTCTCAGAGGATTAAATCCACCCAGCTCTAAAACTGGGACTGCAGGAACTACAAAGGCATGCAAACACAGGCCTCCACTGTTCTCCGAGATAAGGCTTTTAAAAGGACTCACTTGGTGTAAGGTGAACATTGTTGATTTTATCTGCAAGGGAGAGAAGAAAGGCATTTTCTACTACCAGTTTGGAGCACAAAGTCTCTCTGTGCTGACACCAAAACTTTAAGGACGGCGGGATATTTACCGTACACGCAGTCGTCTCTGTTGTTGATGACGCCGGCTCTCAGGTGACTCAGCTTCTCCTGCGGTGATAAAAACAGCGTCTTCTCTCGTAATTTTCCTTTTGACACCCTGAAGTGTCTGTAATGTTTGCAGGCTTTTATGCGGCGTAGCTGCAGTGTTCTCAAAATGACACTTAATCAACTTTTATGAGTTTTAATTCAGTGTTCAGAGCAGAGGTCTGCAGCTTTCAGCTCTGTGCTCTTCATAAGTTAAATGATAACGAAGCAGTTATTCTTTTTAAATATAGGTTTAATATAAACATTTTGTTTTTAGTAATTTTTCCCCTTCAATTCACCAAGCAGAATGACACGAAAATATGTGATATATTTTACATATTTTCATTATGATTATTATGTTGGGAACTACTTTATGCTCATAATTTCCCATAAATATCAACAATACATAGGTAAAGTTGCTGCAGCAGCTAAATAACCAGGCTGTACCATTTTGTTGCATGTGTTCCTATTAATATTCTGCGCATTGAGCTCAATGATTTACAAAACAACAGAGTAAGAATAAATAAGTTGCCTTACATTTCACCTAAATGACAAAGCAAAAATGATGTAAAACCGTTTAAATGTACGTAAAGCTTTCTGCACCATTTTCCAACAAAGCCTGCAGTTCTACCGAAAGGGCCAGACGAGGTTATAGATGCGTTGCTTTTTATCAACCAGAGTGCTGTGAAGTCCTACCTCCTGCCTGTTAACGGCGCTCTTTTTGACCTGCTGCTGGTCGCTGATGTGATTGAGAGCCTTGGCCACAGAGAACGAACCGGTCTTCATCCTCTGCTGGAGCTCCGCCAGCTGTTCGCGCTGCATCTGATTGGGTACGAAGGTGTCGTAGGTGGCAGAGGCGCCGCCTTCTTGTCTTTGAGCTGCAGTGCACAAAACCGGCATCTTTTACTGATCAGAACATTTCTAATAACGTAAACGAGTGTTCTATAAATCAAAGTAAAGTCGCTATTTCAAATTGGTTCTCTCGTACGAGTCCACCATGTTTACAAAAGCAAATTCTGCTATTCTGCGTTTCAGACGCAACGCTGTTGATTAAAGTGCTTTTTTATTTATTTTTCTAACTTGCTGACACTTTTCAGCACCAGTTTCTAAAGTGACTTGTTAAGTGACAGTTCTCCTTACAATTTGAATTCAACAAAATACAATAAATGTTTCTGAACAACCCAGACAGAAGTGTGCTTGAATGTACGTCTGAGAAAGAGTAATTGATAAATTTGAGTAAGATCAGTGGTTCTGATCTAGTGGGTGGATGGATGGATGAATATTATATGTATGGATGGCTTAGAGATTAATGGGTGGAAATATAGTTTAATGAATGGATGGATGGAAAGATGGACAAATCTTGGATGGGTGGTGCAGTTTTAAAATATATATATATATATATATATATATATATATATTTTTTTTTTTTTTTTTTTTTTTTTTTTTTTTTTTTTAAAAAAAAAAAAAAAAAAACTCTAAATTTTTTCTATTTAAATTTTATACCCTGTTTGGA